GGGACTTAGTAAGTAGGTTATAATTGGGGTTGTAAGTCCCCTAAGTGGGGTTATCCTACCTATTAACCTACTAATAACCTTACTTACTATAATTCCCATGAGCCTTCAAGTAGGCCCTACGTAGGGATAGAAATCAGGGACGTCCCCAATGCTCGTATCCGCCTAAACCCCGTGCACTCAAAAAGTCGGTCGAATGCTTGACATGTTTCCTTGTTTATTAACTGAACAAACGAGAAAACCTATATACAAACGTGTATATATATATATATGTATATACTCACACACACACACACTCTCTCTCTCTCTCTCTCTCTCTCTCTCTCTCTTTCGTTTGTTCATCTATACAGACACAAGTAAATTTGCATACGCACAGTGCATGCGAAAAAGCTGCCTGTGCCCTGAAGCACCACTTTGAACCCCCGCAGCTCACGTGCACATTGCATGATCAGCTGGACAGGTCGGGTCAGCGATATAACTACATATAACTCGAAGCACCCGAAACCATGCCGGCATGGCCGTCAAGAACATATCGAAGTAATTCCAGATCTGCTCTGCGCCACACCTGTGCTGTGAGAGAACAAATACACCCATGACCCGGAAACCTTAACCCTACGTTGTCAGAACCATGACACCCTAGACCTCAAAGCTTAGATGTAAAACTTCAACCGCAAATCCCAAGCCCTCTGTCTTAACACTTCTGGCACACATCTTACGCTTCAGCATCTTGGAGCTATCGGGATGAAGGTCCAAACGAAGTCACAGGTGTTCCGTTGAGATCCGGGTTGAGGGATGAGGCTAGAGGGCTACAGTTTACGGTTTAGGAATGTTTAGGACTTGATTAGTGCTGAGGGTCGATAATCTAAGCAGGAACATTCGCGGGGCCCCAAGGCTCCAGTTACCTAAGTAATGGGTTACCGGGCTATGTTATACATGGAAGATAATGCTGCAGCTTTCCAGTGGCCTTGGCAAGGGATCAGAGAAGCTCCTCTTGTGCTTCAGAGAAGGAAGGATCTAGAATGGTTGGTTCAGGGGGTTAAGTGTTAAGGGCTTAAAGTTTAGGTATTGGGTTTTTTTTTTAAGGGCCTTTTTCCACCTGGCAGTATTGGGTTTGAGGTTCAGGGTTTTTGGTTGGGGGGTTTGGGACTAGGGTTGCAGGAACTTCGGTGCTTCGGGGGTTCTCATGCTTAGAGATAAACCTAAACCACTGAACTTGAAGCCAAAAGCTTAAACCCAAAGCCCTAAACTATACCCCCCTTTTAGACCCATGATAAAAGAATATGTTTAATATTCTTTTGGGTTTTAACCTAAGGAGACTATAGTAAACCCTACACCCTAAGCCTCAGCAAGATCCAAGTTGCCAGAAGTCACGGCACCCCAAAATAAGGATCCTCCGACACGGATTGCCGCTTGGGTATTTAGAGTTAGGCTTTAAGGTTTGGGGTTAAGTTGAACTAGCCCCTAAACCCTAAACCCTAAACCCTAGGTGTTGGAAGTATGGTTCCATGGTTCAGCGCTTGGTGATTCAGGGATCTCGGCGTTGGGATCGTGGGGCTTCAGGGTTTAGGGTTTACCCATAGGCCCCAAAGTAGTTCCTTCTTGTGATTTCCGTATAATTTTCTGTATATATGAACCCCCAAAAGGAACTACTTTGGGGCCTTTGGGTAGGGTTTAGTTGCGAACGTTACGCGCACAGTCTGGCACGGCACATACCCAGAGGCTCCATATACAGTACCATTATGGAATTAGGTCCCAACAGACCATCCATATCATGGCGTTGGGGACCTAATTCCATAATGGTACTATATTTGGAGCCTCTAGGATATGGCTCCAGGCTCCGAAGCGTAATCCGCAGGCCTCATCTAGCTGAGTGGAGGAAGTAATTGCTGAAAGGGAACTCCAGAAAGTTGGAATATGGTTTCAGGGTAGGACACCGTATAATTTACCATAAAGGGCTTAGGAGAATCATATTCCAACTTTCTGGCATTTACTTTAAGGGCTTAGACAAGCCAAACGGTTTATGGTGCTTGCTTGGAGGGTGATTAAGGTTCCACCTAAACCCTAGACTGTTTACGGGCTAGGGTCGTTTAAGGCCATGTAGCGTTTACATGGGTTTACCCGGTTGGGAGCACGGTCCTCTGGTTCACACCCGTGTAACCCCCAACCCCTACACCCCAAATCCTAAAGCGCACAGCCCAAACCTTGAACCCAAACCCCACACCCGGAACCCCCAATCGTGCATCGCAAACCCTAAGCTGTCAGAAGCTACAGTCACGAAGACATCTAGGGTTTATAGGGCTTTGGGAAGAGCTGCATTTGGGGTTTTGGGGTTTAGGACTTAGGATTTCTGGTGTTTTAGGCTCTAGAGATGGCTTCAGGTGTTTAGGTATGCTACAGATGGAGATTCAACTGCAGAGAGGCTTTTGGAAACTCTGTGACTCTGGCGAAGAATATTTCCCCAAGTCAGTCTTGCACCCCTCTGCATGCGGATGTTGAAAGCTAATGTAGGGACTCCTAAACCCTAAACCCTAAACCCTAAACCGTGGTACAGCTGATACCCAACGAGGCTTCGCCAGAATGCCCTGGACACCCCAGGCGAAAGTGCACGGAACCCAAGCCTTTCTGAACCCTGGAAGCCTCGTGATCCCTTTAATAAGGACCCTACTATTTAGGGTACTATATAATATTAGGGTCGCCTAATTTCGGAAACTCCCATTGTGTAATCTAGACCCTATAACTACATCATACGGCCCTTCTGCCGAAACTCGAAACCCCTGAATCCGAGCAGATACCCGGTCCTCCCAAAACTCTATAGACCCAAATCCTGAACATACAATCGAAGACTGCCCGCCTGGTTATCAGCTCCAGGGAAAGCCCAATCACGAAGCCGAGCTCCACATATCTTGGGATTGAGGTTTAGGGTTTTTTTTTTTTTGAGCTCCTTTTCTCCAGTGCCTCGAAAGGTCTGAGAGGCCAGGACGGCCAGGACAGCTAGGCTCTTATCGCCTCGCTGCAAAAAACACTCGCACTACCCTCGTATGCCACCGAACGTGAGCTGAGTCTCGCCTCCCGCTTTGGACACATACTTCCAGGAGTCTGCCTAGCCCTCGAACTGATCAGCTGCATCCTCTGGGAGTGGTGATAGGGCACGAAAGGGGGCCGTCTCCGCTTCACTGCCTTCAGAAGTGATCATCGTGGATGCTGGTCCCTGGCCTGTTGTGAGGAGATCATCAATAGCCATCTGTACTTGCTCATCGGACAACCCTGCTGGGCAGGATGGTGCAGGCAGCGTCGACTCGTCCGTCCACGTTCCTTGGTCGTGCAATGCCTTCCGGGCCAGGAAGACCTCCAAGGCATCAGACCCAAGGCGAGCCACAACCTGGTCGTCCGTCAGGAGACCCTGAGCCCACTCGGTGTGCACAGCATCATACTCACTCCATGGTACCGATGCCTCTGTCACCGAACTTCGGCTGGGTTGGACCTCTTCCGCTTGCATCGCCCACTGTAGTTGCACCATATCCAGTGCGTCCGGTCCGAAGCGGCGAAGGACTTCCTGCATAGTTGTAGTACCCTGCTGAAGTTGTATGACGACCGCATCCAGGTCTTCCGGGCTGAAGGTGGTAGGTGCATCCCCGGATTCCCGAGGTCGGTCATGCCCCCCTGGAGCATGAGCTGCAGGTGGCTCCGGCTGTCCAGGCGGAATAGAGCTGTCACTGGGGGCCGAGCCGTCTGGAACATGCATCCACTGCAGGGTGACCTGCGGCGATTCCCCATCGAATGGCATGAAGACACTGGTGGAGGAGGAAGCTGGGGACGTAGATGCAATGGTGACCTGCAAACCTTTCCTCTTGCGCGGGTTCGTCCCCTGGTTCAATGCTCTGTCCATCACCCAGTCCTCCCACTGTTGGTATTGAACACCTTGGCGGCGTTGCTCATCCAGGATGTGTTCATGGACCGCAGCTTCCTGCGCTGCTTCGTCGGCTTCATGAAGGAGCTGCGAGGCTGACACTTCATGAAGGTCAGACTGTTGGTCCTCACGTTCTTGTTCCACCAGGGCGTCAATGGCGTCGGCAGGTAGATCCCCATGTACCTCATGCTCGCTAGTCGGCAGTGCCGCCCCTGCTCCGTGGCCGTCCGTATTCGGGGATGACGGAGGCGTGTCCTCCGGCAGCAAGCTGTACGCAACCCAGGGCGGGCGGTGCTGGTCAAGCCCACGACCACATGCACTGCGGGACCCCAGCGAGATGGGCAGGAGGTAGGAGACAAGGTTCCAGAGCCTGAGCGCCATATCCTGGTTCGGCAGGTAGTAAGTGATCGGCTCCTTGACATCATCGTGTGCAGCCGTGAGGAGCGCCAGGAGGTCCGCCGCTCGGCCCGTCGCATGTCCCAAAACAAATCCCCCGGCCTCATTGGTCGTGCGCCAGTCAAGCAACTTGAGTAGGAGCAGGGACATCGAGACACGGTTGTTCTGGTCCATCACCTCTAGCGAGTCCCGAAGCTGCTGTAAGGCGGTCCACCAGTCTTGTGGCGTGCCGGTTGTTGCAGGTGGTGTCTTGAAGAGTCCGAGCTGCATGTATGCTGCCTCGTCCGCCTCCACTTCAATGTCCACGAGGTCATTGGATCCCTCGTTGTCCATGGCCAGCTGTACCAGGTTGGTAACCACCTCGAGGATCCTTTGAGTGACTCTTGTCAAGCTCGCCAGCAGCACGACACGATCGTGCCACGTTTGGCCCAGGAACGTCTCCGAGATGATGTTGCATTGGTAGGTGGAGGGGAAAGTTCCCGCCGGAGCATTCTCGTCCTGCATTCCCAACAAGACAAGCCAGAGGTCAACCGCTTCCTGGATCGTGAGCGGCCGTGGTGTGTCCGGCGGTGTCGGCCGCATGGGCCTTGCAATCGCCGGCCGAGCCTTTGCCTTGGGGTTTGCACGTCCCTGGTGTCTCGGTCGACCCCTCCCGTCCCTTGTACTAGACGATGGCATTGCACCCGACGATGAGGCCGCATCACAACCCGAAGTCAACCTCCGGACCTCCGTAGTGACTGTGGTCCTTGGCCTCGCGGTACGTGAGTGCGCCGACGTCTTGTTGTCCTTCTCCTCTGCGGTGTGCGTCCCTTTAACCACTTTTTGTTGATCGGGGCCCTAGCCACCAAGGAGCAAACCTCGTCATCCTCCGTATGGCTGTCATCGTGTACCGAGATCACCTCAATGACATCAGAGTCCGTCACCTCGGAATTATTGGGAGCGACCTCAGGGACCGGCTGGATGCCCTCGTTGTCGATTGAGCTGTTGAGGCAGGCCACTGTCCCTGCAGAGCAGTCAGGGGCGTCCCTAGCCTCTGCATGTAGCCAGCTCGAGGATGCTTGTCCCATCCCTAGGCTGTCATCACACGGTTCCAGGAGAGATAGGATCCTGTGCAAAGATGCCTCGACCTGGACTGCCCAATCCTGGACGTAGTCAGGGGGCTCAGCCCCCAGTGTATCCGCGACAATCTGGGCCGATGCCGCCGAGTTGAGGTAGGCCATCCCTCGGATTCTGTAGTGCCCTTCATTTCTGCCCAGAATGCGACGGCGTAGCATCTCATACGACCACCCGTCATCACCTTCATAGTGAGCTTGGCGCAGATGGTCCATTACCTGCTGCAACCAGCGCACTTTGATTTCATGTAGGGTGCGCATCGGGACTGGGGCCGGTGCCATCCTGCTCGATCGTTGGTTCTCGAGCAGGGGGCTTGCCTGGTCCCACATGGAGACCTCCTCCCCAGAGGAGGCGGAGCTGTCACCAGGAATAGGTAACTGCAACACAATCCTCATGAGTTTGGAATATCGTCTTTTGTTGTTGAATTCAACCCTCCGTACTGCATCAGGTTCCGGCTCCCCTTCGGCAGGCGGCTCGAGGTTGAAGAACTCATGTGGCAGGGAACCTGCCTGGTTTTCAAGTGCCGCTTGTTGGTGGGGATAGAAGGCCTCCAAGTACTCAAGGTGAAAGTGCTCCTCAATGTATCGGCACCATCTCATTTCCTCGGGAGCCAGTGGACCGATCTCGTTGTCGGGGTTGAGCCTGCCACCAATCGACTGCTCCACATCAGCCGTGAGCTCATAGACGAAACTGGCATAATGGTCATCCTCCCGAGACACAATGAGAGCATGCAGAAAGCCCATGAGGTCGTTTGGCTCTGAGCCGCTTTCCAAAAGCGGTGCTGCCATAGCTTGTCCCTGGAGATACCAGTGCGGAGGCCAGTCGCCCAGGATCTCGGGTGGCTGAGCGTGGGTCAGCAGTCCCATCGAGGAGGACATAGACACGAAGAATCCCGGGGCGGAGGCTGTGCATAAGACGCACCGTAGCCACATTTGGTAGAGGAGCCACAAGCCCCAAAGGCGAAAAGCGGCACCGAAGGCGCCCATGTTCATATGGATGCGAAGAGATCGTCGATCGCTATCGGTGGGTGTCTTGACCCAGTACTGCAACGGCAGTTTAACCCTCCGCGTTGTCAAAGCAGTGGAGGAAGTGTAGAAAGACCCTCGACTCGGAAAACCCTTGTCATGCGCTGCGCAAAAAACAACCCTTTGTAGCACGGTGTAATACAACTCCTCCGACAGACCCTTTGTTCCGTGGATGTAAATAGGACCCTGCCAATGTGCCACAGATATTCTGAGACAACCTTCCGAAAGTAGGAGAGAAGAGGACGCTCAGCATCAGGTTCAACCATGTTCATCCCTCATTTGCAAACCCTCTAATCACCATCATCCAGACTAAGCTGTTTCCCAGACGACCAGGGCAAGTCCTGTTGTTTGATCCATTGTACCCCTGCTACTGCCCACTTATTGCGATCCCTTGCACATTCTCTCCAGGGCTCCTGGCATGCATGGTCCATGGCCATCTCCAGCGCAGTGAGGCGGGCATAGAACTTGCCCCGATGCCGCAGACCCACACCTGGCGTAAGAGCTTGTTGATCACGCCACCATGCCAACGTCCGAAATCTATCGATCTTGGAGGAAATCGGTGGTTGTTCACGAAAATTGGCTCGCTCCCTGTGACCCGAGTAACCCCACCAACGTGATAGCCAAGTAGTCGACCACCTGTTTACCCCTGCTTTGCACAACACTGCACGTGAGGCTCGGGTAGATCTTCTACGGTAATCCGCCCAAGACTCTTCCGGTTTTTTGGCGTGGCGGAGTAGCCATCCCATGAGCAAGTTCTGAAAGGAGTTAACCAACCCTAGGGAATGCTTATCCGGCGGAATGGCCCCAAGACACCACATGAGGGAATTCGTGACGACCCTGTCCATTAAGCGAGCTCGACCACTTGCCGGAGTTCGCCTCCTGAGAAGGTGCTTGATCGACCAGAACTTTCCACGCGCCCTCGTGAAGAGTGGTTGTAGGAACTCACAGGTAGTCATACCCACACGCATCGGTAACCCCAGCACTGTGATGAACCCTTGATCATGTAGCGTGACACTGCCTAAGCGAAGCGACCTCCCTGTGGTGTTGTGGGGGGAGACATAGAGCTTGCATTTAGCATGGTTCAATTTGAGACCGTACTCAGCAAGGACCGTGGCGAAGTTATCGAGCTTCTGAGCCAGGATGTCAATCCTACCACTCCATAATAGACCATCGTCCATGAAAAGGGAGTCTTCTGCCCTCAAATCAGGGTAAAGTGTGGGTAAGCCTGCCCACTTGTACCTGACCGATGTTTCCCGGAGCGCTTCCTGCATCATATACGCAAATAGCATCGGCGATTCGGTCGCACCCTGCTTAATCCCTGTAAACATGTCGAATTCAGTCGACCCCCATACTGTTTGAAGCGTTGCCCGAGTGCCACACAGTAAGTTTCGGAGGCATCTGTATTCCGGAGTATTACCTAGCTGCCGTTCAAGCTTGTCCACCAACTTACCCCGATCAAGCGAATCGAAAGCTTTGGATATATCGATCTGGCACATGGCCAGACCGCCTTTCCACTCGCGTTCAAGCTGCATCAAGCGCCATATCGTGAATAGAACATCAGAAGCTTGACGTTGACCACCAGCACATTGGGCGTGGCTGGTATACGGTAACAGGTGGGAAACACGATTTAGCAGCATGCGGGAGAACAATTTGGCAGTAGAGCTGCCAAGTGCAATGGGTCGTAGGTCAGCAGGCCCCGAAGGTTGTTCAGTTTTGGGGAGCACGATCAGCAGAGGTTCGTTCCACGCCCGAGGGATGCGTTGCGTAGCGAGGATTCTGTTTAGGTACTCTAGAAGGTGCCCCTCGCCGCCCTCAATGTTGACCACGGCTTGCAATAATTCCTTGGAAGTGAGATCCCTTCCAACTGACTTCTGCCCCTTCAGCTGTGTGAGAGCAGCTTTGAGATCCTCAACCGTGAAAGCTACAGCCGGCTGATCCGGCAGGTACTTTGGCTCAATGTCGACCCCTTTGTAAATCCGGCTGAGGTGATCATGAACTGTCTCATGTGGGTCCCTCGTTTGCATATCAGCATACTCGAGCTCCCACCCCTGCTTAGACGGAGCCTTGCTCTGGCGGAAAGCACCCCAATCGCCCTTCAAGGCCCTGTCCTGCCTAGCCAGTTCCCAGCTCCGCCGTGCCGAGCGCCGAGCTGCCAGCGCATTTTTCCAGGCTTCCCTGGTTCTGGAAAGCTTAGCCTGCTGCATGAGTTGCTTGACAGCCTTTGGGTCACGGTATGCTTGGCTCTGGCGAGGCTTCGTACAGCGGGCGGCAAGGTCTTCGAGCACCCCTTGGTCCAGGTAGTCAATTTTGTCAGGCCCACCGACCCATACTCGAGGTTTGGTTTCGCAACGGTGTTGTATCTTGCCTGTCACCACCCGGAAGCAGCCCTGTAGTAGCTCATGATCCGTACCCAAAGTCAGACACGAATCCTGATGCGTGATCGACCCCTCATGCCTAAGACGAGACACTGCTACAATGTCAATCTGCTTCCCAGCACGACCTTCTTGGCGCGGTCTTGACGTCGGTAGGCGCCTGAAGGGAGGCCTCGGGGCCACCAAAGTCAGGCCTTGCTTATGGAACCTGTCGAGGAGGATGAGAGCCTTCGCATCCCTTCCAATTGCATCCACCAAGCCCTCATTCTCAATCCATCCGAAGCTGGCATTGGCATCCCCTTGAACGATGACCCTGTGCTTCCCTTTGGGCATTTTGGACAGGAATATATCGAGTTGAGTACTGAAAACATCAACCGTGCATCCCGGGGTGAAGTGAAAGGAGGCGACCCAAACTTCCAGAGCATCACTGAGTCTGCGCATACGGAACCAAGTACCTTTTCCGGCCGGAACCCTGCGAAGCATCGACCATTCACCCTTGCCCTAAGCATCCGAAGACCTCAAATATGACCAAAGTGCTGGTTTGGTAAGCACAACAACGCAAGGCCTTGTTTTTTGTGGTTCCGGACGGAGCATGTGTGTGATGTATGAAAGTCCTAGGATTTCATATACTTTAGCCTATGGCATGCTTTCCTCTAATTACACATGCATGGTAAGATGCCATTTATAGCGAGCTTGCTTGACTTCATTGATTTTTTGAAAAAATATTAAATTCCGACACGTTGGTTGAATTGAGAAAACATTGATTTATAGATTCTTGCACGGGTTTTGCTATGTGTATCAGATATGTATATAATGTATATATATATATATATATATATATGTATATATATATGTATATATATAGGGATTTGTCCGACACAGAAGCCACCAAGCAGCATCAACAACGAAAACAAATATGTATACATATATATAAATATATATTTTTATATTTACTTTATATATATATACATATGTATCATTCTACATATATATACATATATACATATTATATATATATGTATAAATAGATACCGATTTTTATAGAGATATATAGATATATATATATATATATCGAATCCTTGCATTAATGCACAGGCTTGGAAGTCTCCAACCACCCGCCGCTTCGCCGCCCAGGAGCATGCAGGCATACATGTACAATTAGGAAGACCATGATCCTAGATATATATAGTGCAGTCACGATTATTCAAGGAATATGTTTTTCAAATTAGGAACTGGCCAGAATTCCCCAGATGTCTCGCACTCCAGACTGCACCGAGGCCCGTATCAAACAAACACGTGTGCATACAGACGACGTAGACTGCATGCATAGCCATATATATATGACAGAAGCCTGAGCTCCCATAATTCATGGTCGGTGCCCGCCAGCTGCGGCCTTCCTTTTGCCGAGGCCGGAAGCAGTGGATGGGATGAGGTTTCAGTGTTATAATATGTTTCAGCGATTTCAGGGGAGTTGTGTCTTCGGGGAAATATATTTTGTATATATATATATATATATATCGAATACATGGAGATGTTAATGTAGTTTTATTGATCTGGGCTTTGGCATAATGCGGGTTTTCGGTGCTGAGTGTGGAGCAGACATGTGTGCTTCTGCAGTTACAAGCATGGGCTCAGACCGCTGGGTCATGTACATGTTTAGGTTGCCTAGATTATATATATTTGTTAGTGCACAGGCATGGTCCTAGAATATGTACAACAATATATATACGGAGACTTGTAGACAGACAAGTCTCCGTTTGTCTGAGCCCTGCTTGTCGAGATCTTCCCTTCGGATCCTTGGCCGGAGCAGCTGGAAAATTAAATAGACATATATGTTATGTCACATAGTTGAATACGTATATTATATATATATACATACATACACATACACTAGCGAGATATACGTGTGTGTAGCTTATGTATACCTATATATAATATAATATATATATATATATATAATATACAGATTCCAAGCTGAAGCCGGCAGGGGACGGATCCGTCGAGATCTCTAATTAAGTAGATATATACGACTACTACCATATATATATATATATATATGATATACATACGATACCAGGATATCTACATACATGCTCATGCATCATGAGCCTTAATTTATAGGCATAGCTCTAGATCTAAAGCTGCATTTTGCAGCACTTCGCCATGGCCGATCCCGCGAATGCTGGCGATGAGCAGCGGCGAGCACCTGGGTCTGGTGTCACCCTGCTGCGGGGTCGCTGGGTGCTGTGCTTCGTCCCGGAGGGGGAGATGATGAATGTCCGCGGGTACAACCACGTCGGTGTCGACAGGTACCCCGGGCTTCCGTTTATGCCATGGCCTCCGGAGTTTCCGCCTTTTTTGGAGCCGCCTGGGTCAGTGGTGCGACCGGGCGACTTGTTGGTACCCATGGCTGCACAGTAAAGCCTTTATATACATACATATATATAAGCATATATATATATATATACATTATCTTTCTGAATATATATATATATATGTATATATATATATATGAAGATACATGTCAAGTTTTGCAGAGAACTGTTTACAGTTGATATTCGCTGCCTAGAATATATATATATATTTTTTTTTGGTTTATGTATTTAGATATATATGTATTTAGATATATATGTATTTAGATATATATGTATGTCTTTATATACATTGGAACCAGGCTCAGCCCGGGAACCTCGGTGCTCAGCCTGGGGTCTGGCCTGGCGAACGTGCTGCCGTAGCTGTGGCGGCAGCAGTAATTCTTGGTTTTTGTTAATATCTAATCGAATTCATATGCTGGGACTTATCTTGAATCAATCGGAGGATGGACCTGCCACGACTGCCGCCCCTGAAGCTTCTCATGAAGCTGAAAGGCTTTCTGCGGTAACTGTGGCAGCACTACACAACAAATACATATGTTAACTATATGTGTATACATATATGTATATATACATATATTTTTTCCTCATTATATGTCTATAGATTATACGGTATCTCATAGTTAAATTGCACACTATATATGTATATATGTTCCTATATATATATATATATCCAGGTCGATGCAGGAGCAGCCCAAGCACCTCCGCCTTCTCCCGTGGTGCATGCTGGGGCGAGTTTAGGATCTGAAGGAGCTGCTGCAGTAACTCTGGCAGCAAATAATAAGCTCGGCTGGCCTTTTTGTTGTTATATATACAGTACCACGTATGTTTTTGCTGAGCTCTTTTATATTTATGCAGGCCCCACGAGCAGCACCACCGCCTGCGGCTCCCAATGCACCTGGACCACCGCCTGCGGCTCCCAATGCACCTGGACCACCGCCTGCGGGTCCCAATGCACCTGGTCAAGATACTAAGTTAGTCTTAATTCACGAATTGATTTATGCACATCTGTCTACCCCTATATATTAATATATTTCGATATATTAATATAATATATAATGTATATATATATATATATATGTGTGTATAGATATATATATATATATATATATATTATGCATCATAAATGTCATGGTTGCTAGCGATTCTTCGGCAAGAGAACCACATATATACGGATGTGTTCGTGTGTATAATGTGTATAATATAGACACGATGAGCGAGCAGAGGTCACACCGGACCTGGCGACGACCCCGAAGGCTGCAGCTGCCGCTTCGCAAACAATATTGTTTACTCGCTACTGACTGATCTATAGAGCTTCTATATATATATATACATATTTACATGTACATATGTATTTTTTTTAATTTTTGTAGTATACAAATTGAGCGAACAGAGGTCGCAGCGGACCTGGCGAAGAATGCCCCGAAGGCTGCAGCTGCCGCTTCGCAAACAATATAGTTTACTCGCTACTGACTGATCTGAAGAGCTTCTATATATATATACATACTTACATGTACATATGTATGTTTTTTTACTTTTGTAGTATACAAATGAGCGAACAGAGGTCGCACCGGACCTGCCGAAGAATGCCCCGAAGGCTGCAGCTGCCGCTTCGCAAACAATATATATATATAGTTTACTCGCTACTGACTGAGATATATAGAGCTTCTATATATATATATATATATATATATTTACATGTACATATGCATGTTTTTTTTGCTTTTTTAGTATACAACAAGAGGACAGAGAATAGGTCCATAGAATGACTCGGGCTGAGGGTGATGACGTCAGAGCTTCCGGACTGCCAGAAGCGATCCCTGCGAAGACAGAGGCAGTACCCGCACAAAGTTTGGAAGTGTATATGGTATATAGCGATGCATGACTTAAATCAGTTTGGCTAAACACGGCTGCACAGGAGCCGACAGCTGCAGCTCCGCCCGAGCCTTCGGAGCCGGCACCTCCTGGGCTTCCGGTGCCGCCACCACCGCCTGAGGAGCCTCAGGATGATGCAATGGCTCCAGTGACTCTGGCAGCAACAGTATTAGATATTTGTTAGTGCGGTTGTAATATAGTGATCAAGATGTGTGTATACGTATATGTATATACAAGTAGCTATATATGTATAGACATGTATATATATATATATATACACCACACATTACAAATTGATATATGTATATTTACATACATATATGTGTATGTATCTAGGCATATATATATATGTATAATACGTGTATATAGCATGTTGGGATCGAGGCCGTTCCCGGCAACATGACCCCGGAGAAGAAGGATGCGGCAGTTCCTCCAGCAGCTGTGGCAGCAGGAAGACATGTACATCTGATATAGTTATGAAATAAAGAACAGCTACCGAAACGGGCGAAAGGTGACTCCACCTCGACGGGGCTCTGCAGCTGCTGCCACTGGTTCGAGACCTCGTGGCTCCCGGTCGCCAGCAGCTTGGACTGAATATATTGTGTAACTTACTATATACCTGTATCTGTAAATCTATATATATATATATGTATATATACACATATATATATATATATGTATCTGTATATATATATATATATATATATACATATACACATATAATGTATTATTGTAATACTTGTTATATAGTACATTTGCTCTGCAGGTGCTCGACGAAGAGCTCGAGGAGGAGGAGGTCTCCTGGAACCCTTCGGATGTCGAGGAGGCGGACAAGAGGGGGGCCAAGAGGAACGTGCAGGACATCTGGTTTCGTCCGGATGGGCAGGCTCCACAGAAGAAGGCCGCGAAGAGGGAGACTGGGGCAAGGGCGAAGAGCAAGTCGAGGCCACAGCCACGTGTGCCGAAGGTGCCGAAGGCGAAGAACGTGGTGACGAAGCCAATGCCAAAGAGGCCGGTTCCGCCCGCCTACCCGCCACCGAAGGCTGCTGGACCGAAGGCTACTGGAGCCAAGGCTGCTGGAGCCAAGGCTGCTGGACCCAAGGCTGCAGTGGAGGTTCCGCCGCCGAAGGCTTTGTTTGCCCTCTCGAGATGGAGGCCAAAAGGCAAGGTGGTGATTGGCCAGGATGGCTCTGG